CCCCACCCCCCCGCCATTTTTGAGACAGGGTCTCACTTCCTGGTTTAGGCTAACTCTGAACTCACTATGTAGCCCAGGCTCGTCTTGAACTTGCAGCGATTCTCCTGCCTCAGCTTTAGAAAGCAGGGATTACAGGCATGCACTACCCCGCCTGGTAAGACCCTACCTTAAAAAGGGCTAAGGATGTAGCTAAAGTGTGAAGGCCCTATGTAAAAACGCCAGTACAGAAAAGAAAGTGGGGTTTGTGCGTGTGAAAAAAAGATGCCCAGGGCTGACCAAGTAGCTCAGTGGATTAAAGTGCCTGCAAAGCAGGTGCAGAGGCCGGGGTTGGATCCTGGGGCCTACAGTGACTGCCCGCCCCCTGGGGCGGGCTGAGATACCAATTGAGACTGGACATGGTAGTGCGTGCCTGTAATCCCAGCTCTTGGGAGGCTGTAAACAGGCAGATCACTAGGAGTCCATTCCAGCAGTGAGACTCTGAACACCCTGTGGACCCTTCCCTAAAACACAAAAAAAAAGATGCCCAGGAATGCATGTAACCAAGAGATCCCTGAGCTACTTATAGTGATTAACAGTATATCCATGTTGCTCCCGTCTTGGGGGTCTCTACCTGTTTAACAGACTAGGCTGAGGATGGAAAGGGATTCCTCAATAAAACCAGAAGAAGCCCGAGGGCAAAACACACTTTTCACTTTGACCTAAGGCCATGCTCATATAAACAGCGCACTTCTACCCTCTTTAGAGCTGGGAAACAGACTAAAACAAGAAAATAACAGAGCATTAAGAAAAAAAAAAACAGAGCATTAAGCATTCAGGAAAAAAAAGATACATTAGAAGGATCAGAGGCAGCGACAAAACAAAGATACAAACTAAGAGAGATGATACTTTTCTCAATTATGACAGTCACTAATTATTGAAAAATTTCTAGGGGTCAGTCACTGGGCAGTGGTGTGGCCCCATTTCGCAGACGATGAAACTGAGGCCCAGACAGGCGAAGTAGGAAATTCAAGGTCTCATATGTAGTTTTCATCGGCCAAGGCAGAATTAAACCTCCGAGGTCTGGGCTGCCTAGTGTGACACAAAAAGGGAGGCAGTGACTGTAGGGTCCGGGGGAGACAGAGACAGGCAGGCACACAGGTGATGATGTGAGCGGCAGACCTGCACAGAATCATCTCCCCAGAGGCTGTGGGTAGGGGCCAGGGGAGAGCACGGGCGGTGGGCCCCGCAGCGCACTCACCAGGGTGCCTTCTAGGACCGTTAGCCCCCACCCTCCCTTTGCTACCTACCTGCAGGAACGCCTGCCCCCAGCTGACCTAGGGTCCAGGCCACCCGGGTAAAATCCCGCTCAGGCCCCACCCCTCCCGCGTACAGGCCGGCCTCCCCCGACCCACCTACCGCCGCTCCCCCTTCCCGCACCGCCCCGTTTCCTGGCTTCTCACCCTAAGCCCGCTCTGTCCACGCTGTCACAGCCGCTGGCGAAATGACGCCCGGGCCGCAGCAGGATCTCGCGACCGCTGAGAGGTTTCCCTCCCGCCAGCCCGAGCTCGGGAGGGTCGCGAGTCCCCACCTCTGCCGGGGGGGGGGGGGGGGGGGCGCTGGGGGGAGCTTCAAGGCTCCCATTGGAGGAGGACCTCCAGCCTCGCCCGGAATTGGCGGAGAGGGAAACACTTTATTTTTACCCTAGGCCAGGATCCAAGCAGAAGAAAACTCCATCCCTTTGGGGGTCTCTGATTGGTTTAAAACCCAAGCCCACTCTTTAATAGGATTGGCCGGGAAAGGAGCGCTCCCTACAGCGCCTCGCAGGCCTGATAGGGCCGGGGAGCTGGGGACGCGCAAGCGCGAAGCCCAAGGCAGGCCCCAGCCAGTAGCTGGAGCTTGCTTGCTCTGCTAGGAAACGCGACTCTGCCCTCAGTTTTCCATAGCTGCACACCCACCTGCAGAGGTTTCTGTGCCAGGCTTTTCTCTCTCGCAGTGAAAAGTTCCTAATTCTGCCCATGAAGTTGCGGGGGTGGACTTGGCGCATCACTTACCAGCTTTTGCTGCCTACATTGGTCTAGTGGCAACCCCGCTAGTGCCTTAGTTTAATCATCTGTGAAATGGAAAGATATTTAATCCCCCTCCCACGTGTTGCATAGATTGAACAAGAGAACAAAACAATCCCATGGGGAATACATAATTAAGGTCTCTTCTCCCAGTGTTCAGGCAGAGGAAACTATAGCCCAGATAGGCAGATTGAGTAGTTTGAAGTCACACAGCCATTACCCAGAATAATACCCAGGCTTCTGTCTTCCAAAGGAAAGCTGTTTAGGATGGAAGGGAAGGCAGATTTTAATTTGAGTTCCATAGACCTCCAGTTGAAGCTGGGGACAGGGTTTTGAGGGGCACATCAACCTGGATGGGAAAAAATTTACATCTTGTCCCTCTCTGCTAACAAGTTTAATACAGTACTTTCCAATAAAGAATGTAACTGTATTAGTAATAGTATTGCTGGCTGTCAACAATAGAAATCAGATTTGCACATCCCATTATAGATGTTGTAGATCTTTTAAAATACATCTCATTGTTTTAAAATAATGGCAGTCCTTAGATTCTCTACAAAAGTTTAGGATTTAATAAGTTAATGGGGAGCACATATATCACCATAGCACGTTTGCTTTCTCCATATTTTAATAACCACTATGTACAATATTTCAACATAATCAGTTTCCTTTGAAATTTTATGTTATGCACTTAATTTTTTTTTCTGAGAAAAGGCTCATAGGCTTCACGAGGTTGCCAGAAGTTATGGCCACAAAAATTAAACTTAACCCTGGACTTCAGGAGGACAAAGATTTGGTTTCTCTTGTTTCCTTGCTGTGTCCCTATCATTGACTCTAGTATGGCACATTCAGTTGGTGTTCAACAATTGCTTATTAAAGGAATAGTAGGACTCCTCTTCAACTACCCTCTACACTCTCAGCTGGTCTTTTGGTCACCTAAGAAAGAGATGTTCTTGAGTATAGTTTTGTCATTGACAGTTTGAGTCTGCCCACAGAGATGGGTGATATTTCAAAGGTCTGACCCCAGGAGGTTATGGGAACCTGACACCTAGGAGCAGTGCCCTGTGCTGCAGAGGAAGTCTGCTGTAAAGAATATGCAGACAATTAGTTTCAGCATGGGAACTGGAACTGGGGTACACTGGGACTGTGGCTATTCATCTTCCTCCTGGTTTCCATTTAGGGTTCCAGGAAATAGGGCCTATCTTCTCTAATCTTAAGTGAAGACTAAATTTTTGAGCTAGGTGTGGTCATAAAGACCTAGAACAGCCCTGGCTTTTGGAGGCAGAGACTGAGAGGTGAGGGCATAGGGAACAAAGTGTTGCTCTGGGCAAAGAACATGTCCTTCCATGCCTTGGGCCAGGACATGAACACCCTTGCCAACTACAAGGGATTTCCATAATGAGCTCCTAAGAGTGTATCTGAAGACCAGAGGCTCTCTCTAACAAAAGTGGGAAAGAGGAGACTCAAATGCCAGGATAAAGAGTTAGGGATTTGATTGGGAAGGAGGCAGAAAGTAATCAAGGATGAGTGTGATGAAGGTCAGACCTCAAAGACCAGGTTCAGGGTTAGATTCCATCTTGGGATCCTGGAGACCCAGCCCAAGCCCAGGCCTGGCAAGTGTGTAGGAGAGCTTCCATGCTCCCCTGTGCCCACTGGACCTCTCTGGACCCAGCCTATCTTGGGATCCTGGACAGGTTGTGTTTCCTGGGCTGACTCCCCAGCATGATTAGCCTAAGGTTATAGATAGGAAAGTGGTTGTAAAGTAGACGGAGGCAAGAGGAACCAGGGTGGGGTGGGGATATAGGTCAGTGGTAGAGTTCTTGTCAAGGGTACACAGAGACCTGAATTCAATACTGGGGGGAAGAAAGGAACCAAGTTGGCCAATTTCTGACTGGCTGAGATCTTCTTGCCAGGTTAACTTCTTCCTGGCCCACTCAAGGGCCTTTGGTCCTAGTACCTCCCTTTCTGCCTTACTTTATCACATGTCCCCCCTGTCACTGGCTCCAGATAGTTCAGGACAATGTCTGTTTACTCTTCACAAGATGCCTTGACTTAGGATTCTGCACTTTCACCTCTATCCCTGAGGTATCATTCATCACCTGCCCCTCCTTTTTTGTACTTTTCTTTTCTTTCTCTTTATTTTGAGATAGAGTCTCACTATGTTGTCCAGGCTGGTCCAGAACTTCTGGGCTCAATTAATCCTCCTACCTTAGCTTCTCAATGTGCTAGTATTACAGATGTGCACCACCACACCTAGTATGATGTGCTCCCTGAGATTCAGATTTTTCTATCCATCTCTAACAAAGTGAATCAAGGTTAGAACCAGAGACATCAAAACTTTTGGCCTCTTCCCAAAACATTTATGAGAAATATGAAGAGTTATTTTCATGGTCTGATATTCCAGTCATTTGAAAGAAGAGACCTAGAGCAAGGCCCCATAGCAACTGGCAGTCATCTTGATTCCCCCCAGTCCCTTTCCTCCCATATCTACAGCTTGTTAATTTTAGCATTTTAAAAGCTGTCATGGAATAGACAGATTTCTCATGGGGAACAAATCCAATTAATTTATGCAGACACTTTCTCTCAAGGAAATGAAGTGTAACTCCCTATTCCTTAAACATGGGCTATACTCAGTGGCTTCTTTCCGGAGTATGTCACAGAAAACAGAGAAAAAAATAATTTTCGAGTGGAGAAACCTGACAGACTGTACCTCAGCCAGGTCAAAAAATTAACATCAACAGCGATAAGTCATATTGATAGTATGTATACTCAATATAATGAGCATTTTACTTCAGTGGTCTTCCTCCCCAAACCCATAACCCTCTTTAGTCATGAGAAAAAATATCAGATTAATTCCAGTCAAGGGAAATTCTACAAAATACCTGACCAGTACTCCTCAGATGGTGAGTCCAGGTTATCAAAAACAAGGAAAGTGTGAGAAAGTGTCACAGCCAAAGAAGAGCCTAAAGAGACATGCTGACTAAAATATATGGTGGTATTCTAGTTGAGATCCTGGAACAAAGAAGGACAACAGATTAAAACTAAGAAAACCTGAATTAAAGTATAGACTTCGGTTAATCATTATGTAGTGACATGGGTTCAGTAATTTTAACAAGGGAAACTGGCTGTGGTGTATACAGGGTTTCACTGTATTATCTTTGGAATAATTCCACAAATCTAGAATTGTTCTGACATTTAAAATGAAGGAAAAAACCTCTCCCATGTCCCTGTGCCACTCTGGTCCAAGAGTTAGTACTAATTTCCCCACTGCTCTCCCTCCCTCATATCTGTTCTCCTGGGAGCCAGTAGAGAGCATTCTTGAAAATACAAATCTGACTGCATCTGAAGCTTTCCTGAAAAATAAAATGCCTTGGATGGAATGTTTCAGAGATATACTGTATGCTAAAAGACTGACCAAAATCTGTATGAAAATTACCATTATGATCCAGAATGAATCTGGGAGATATTTCTGGTGAAATATGATTACTGTACCCTAAATTTAATACAGCTCAGCTTTTCCAGGGTCTCCCAGGGCAAGTCTCCTTTCCAGTGGCCCAACTCCCAACCTTTCCACCCCATTGTACAGCTAGAGGTTTTCCTTTTATCTCTATGCACGCTCTTGGGCTTAGCCATCTTTTTTCCTGCCTTCTCCTTCAGGCCCAGCTTCAGCGGACCTTGTATCACCTCCCAAAGAGAGAACTCTGGTATGATCTAGTTGTAATATTGGTATCCTTTGTGCTCTTTTGTTATTTTACTACATGCCAACAAGAAAAATGGACTCCTCTGGCTGCCCCATGCCACTCACACTAAGCCCGATGAAAGGTTTGATGCACTGTAAATGAAAAAATGAACCACCATTAAATTGATGTTCTAGGGCACACAGTGTCTCGTTACGCTCATGCCAGAAGGAACGGAGTGGGAAGCTCTTTGCTACCTGGCGGGGGCCGAGGCGTCTGCAAGGAGTGGGAGGGACTTCCTCAGCATCACTCAGCCATTGGCCAGAGCAGTCCGCAACAGAGTGATGCAAGGGTTTCCTAGCCTCGCTCAGCTTGCCCCCCTCGGACCAAACCCTGGAGCTACCACCATTTTGAAGGGCTCTGTGTGGGGCAGGAAGCTTTGTGCTGTATCTGTGTGGAGACTGGACACTTGGGACGGCACACTGGGACAGACTAAAGACTCAAAAGAAGCACTTTGAATTTTCTCAGAGTTTTATTAGGGTCATCACTTCACAGGGAAAGGTGTAACTTCTGCAGGGCAGGAATACAGCAAAGGCTAAGCGGCCTTGCGTAGACACCAAGGCCTGGCAGGTTAGCAGGCACGGTGGGTAAAAGAGATGGATGGAAGAGAAAAACTTGGGTGAAGAGGATGGAGGCAGAGCCTTCAAGGCCACTGCGAGGCTGCGACAAAGGCCATAGCAGCCCTCCCCACTTGGGGATCAGGGTCTCCACTCTAGGCAGCATGGGGGAAAGGGCTAGGACCAACACCAAAGAGAAGGAAGCTAGAGGGGCCCTGACCAAGGCATCACAATAAGTAGCAGCACACAGAAGCCAGTGGGGGAGGAGGACCAAAAACAGGGGCTATCTCCCCCGGCAAAGTAAGAACTCTGCAATTACTAATCCATAAAAATAAACTTTAAACCCGTGTACCAAGTCAGTTAACCTCCTCCCCTCAGAAGTGCAGTGCGGGGACCCTAACTGAGGCGGAGGGCAAACGGGGCACTGGGGAAGTAGGGTACAGAGAGAAGCTCCAAGACTAAGATGTTTATCCGGTGTGCCCCCTCTTTCCCAGGTTGGACCAAGCGTTTGGAACCGGAAACGCCTGCTCCATGTCAGTGTCTTCTGTGTCTGCTCTGCTTCCTTCCTCCTCTGAGCTTCCTTCCTCCTGGTAGCTGTCCTCGCCCAGTTCACTGCCTGTGTAGGAGAGAGAGGCAAGGAAGGCCAAGTGGTGGAGGGCATTAGGCACGTAGGCAGGACTCTATGTGGGAAGAGGACGCACAGCTACTGCTTTGGACGGCCTAGCACCACTTGCCAAGGGCCATCTTGTGGAACAAGGCCCCCAAGAGGAGGGGGAGAGGGGTAGGGGGAAGGAAGCAGTAAGGCACAGCAGGCTCCCTGCCTTTGTTCTATCAAAATTGATACCTCTCAGAGTAGCTTTTCCTCCATACAGTATTCCTCAGTGTGTGTTTCTTCCAGAGCTCAAGCCTTAGCTGAACAAAGCTATTCATCCTCAGGCAGTTCCCTCACTTCTTCCCCACAATCTGATCCAAATAGGCCCCAGTCTAACCTTTTAAGCCCAATTCCCTTGCCCCACTCCCTCCTTAGGGCTCTGCTTCCTATTCTTAGGAGAGAAGCTATCAGGTGGGAAGGAAAAGACTGGCAACTCAGTTTCCCCACCTGAACTGAAAATATGGATATACTGAGGTAATTCATCGAATGGCTACAAACTCCAGGACTGGCTGGTGTTTCTGTCCCTTCTACTTATCCAATGGGCCCACCTCTCCTCTGTATGCCTGTAACAAGTCTTCTGGGCCAGACCCAAACTTGGGAATCCCCTTAAATACTGCTTTCTCCTTCAAATCCCTGCATATATCCTTCCCCTGCATTTCTTAAAGTCTATTCTTTGGTAAGCAGTGAACACTGGCTTGTGATTAAGAAGTTTAGGAAATGCTGTGTTCTACAAAGTGAAATAGGGGTTTTATTTTTATTTATGTAACTGGGGATTGAACTCAGGCCCTTACGCTTGCCAGGGAAGCACTTATTCTACTGAGCCATCTCCCCAGCCCCTAAATAGGGGTTTTAGAACAGGATTTCTTAGAGCTTTTAGGGTACCAATATAAATGTGATTCTACTATTATTATTATCATTACATTATATTTTTCCTTGAGATGGGGTCATGCCCAGGCTAGCACTTAACTCATGACGATCCTTCTACCTCAGCCTCCCAAGTGCTGGGATTACTGGAATGCGCTATCACACCCGGCTACAAGAAGTATTATGTGCAGTAACTCTGCAATGTTTTGATCACCAAAGTCTTCCGTGAGAAGCAGCTTTCAGAATTAGTAAAGTATCCTCAGGAGAGAATTTTGGAAACTATGTCTAATCTACTGTACTTTCACCCTTCCAGGACCTTGCCACATTCTCCACTCCACAAAGAATGGCCCATAATGGTTCTCATTGGGAATGTAGCTTCTAATTCAAAGCTTAACCCCTTCCTCCAGCTCTCTCCTTACCTTCCCAACTACTGATGTAGAATTTGTTGCTCAGTCCATCCTCTGGGTGCATGGAACATACTGTTTGCTTCACTGCTGGCAACCCAAACAAGCCTGAAGTTCTGAGGAGGCCAGGGCTAGGTACATTGTATTTTGAATGTGTCACTTTTTTCCCAGTGTCTTTTTAAAATTTATTTTATGTATGTGGTTATTAAAGGGTCTCACTACGCAGCTCAGACTCATAGTGATCCTGTTGTTTTTGGCCTCCCCAGCGCTGGGATCACAGGCGTACATCACTATGCCTAGACTCTGTGGCTGGGCATAGAATGTGGTGCCGGGATCGAACTGCATTCCCGGGGCCTGCCTAAGCAGCTGCTTTAGTCCACTGAGCTATCTCGCTGGCCCCTATGTGTCCTTTTTAGTTTTCCACACACTCTTATTTCCTGTCCACCCATCAATTAGAACTGAACCTTTTTTTTTTTGGCTTTGTTACTTTTTTTTTTAAAGTTAAATGTTTTCTGGCCTTCCATTGTTTAAAAAAATGTTTTCTCTTTCCTCCAGAAGAATAGACCATGCTCATATCTGAATATCCTACACCAGACTCTCTCTGAGAAAACAGAATGAGGGAAGACAGGAGGGGGTCTAGCTCACCTTCCTCACTGCCCTCTTCCTCTTCCTCCATTGATTCTTCAGAGATGATCTCTACCTCATCCTCATAGTTTTCCTGATTGGTGCTGTTATCTTGATTTTTGTCAAAGACTAGAATGTCGTTCTTGTAGTAGTCAATGTCTCTGTCATCATCATCGCTTCCCTCGTTGTCACCCTCATTACCATCATCATCACTGCCCTCATTGTCACCTTCATTGCCATCATTATCTTCATCATCACTGCCCTCATCTCCACTGTCACTCTCACTGCTGTTCTGGTTATTACCATCTTCCAGGCTAATGTCACCATCAAGATTCTCATTGTTGGAATGCTCACTGTCACAGGGATTTTTATTACCGTCTTCTAGGTTCTGACTGTTGTCACCAGCGTTCTCATTGTGGCCAGGGCTCTCACCATTACACAGGCTTTCATTGATATCAGTTGTCTCATTATCAGTGGTCTCAAAGTAGTCAGTAGTCTCCATGAAATCAGAGATCTTGATGTTATGAATGGTCTCATTGTCAGTAATCTCATCAATGTCTGAGATCTCGCTGAGAATATCTTCCATGGCACAATGGTCATAAGCATCTTCCATGATCACCATCTCATATTCGTCCTTGGCTTTACTGTGGGGAAGTTTGGGGCTGAGTATGGGGTTAGTAGGAGGCCCAGGGCAGACACTGAAAGGTGGCAAATAACTAGAGAGGCTGCAGTCTACAAGGGTCCCTAGGGATGAGGCTAGGGTAGGGAGAATCCCATTTCTGACCCTGACCTACACATGTAACCTCAGGCCATTTCTGGGCATTATTCCTCACCTGTAAAACATTGCACTCAATTATCTCAAAGTTCCCTTGTGGCTCTATGATTACAGTGATACTAGCCTAGACTTTTCCCCATCTCCAACAAACTACTTCTCAGACACCAATTCCCCCATCACCTTTCTTCTTGCTTCTTTCTGGGGGCCCTGATGCCCCCTTCTCTCATGTAGTAGCGTAGAGGGTTAACCCACAAGTCATTCTTGATAATCTGTTGAAAAACAGGAAAAAAGGAAGAGCAGAGCCATGAATATAAGCCCCAGGTCTATTTCCAATTCTGCAGGCACCCAGGGCAAGCCTAATAAGGCCTTTTTGGGGGTTACCAGAAAGTAGCCTCACCTCAGCAATCCTGTCAGCCTCTGGGAGACTGTGGTTTGAGAACCAGCTAAAGAAGCTGTAGTTGGTGTCCTGGTTCTTTCGACTATGGGCCTGAGGTTCCTGGCCCCGGTGCCAGTGGATTGGAGTGGAGTGAGACACTAGCCGGCCTAGGAAAAAGAGGACCATGAAGAGACTGGCTAATGATAAAATGGGGGGACATGGATTTATCTTGGACTTCCACTTACCCAAGTGGTTGCGTTGGAACTCCTTGACGATTACCATGTTTGTAAAGTAAGGGTTTGTCTGGAAGTAGAGCTTCATTTTGTAGCCCATGGAGATATGTCTGAGATCCTGTACCTGCTCAAGATGGGAGTAATAGTAGAATCTGCCCCCCTATGACCCCTCCTTCCCACCTCACCTCAGAGAACCAGATTCCTTGGCCTTCCTCTTTGGCCTGACCTGAAGATTGGTCAAGTAGCGGAAAATGTCTTCATCACGTTGGTTGATTAAAATTGAAATTGTGGGGTGGTTGAGGAACTGATGAGTGGAGCAGTTTAGGTCAAGGATTAACTGTTCAGTGGGGAGGGAGGGAAGGCCAGGCAGGGCATAGCAAGAGAGGCTGGAGTAGGATTCCTTGTGTTGATGTGACGTATATGGAGCAAGCGGGTTATAAGGACATGACCTGTACTTGTATTACCATGATACAATCTCTGTGGTCGGATTGTTCTTGCAACATTAAACCTCTGTATTAGGTGGTTCATATTTGCTGTTTTTCCATGAGGGTCTCTGTCCATAAGATTTTTGTTTCTACATGCTAAGAGTCTGTATTCCCTTTAGTGTTCCTGGGAGCTGAAGGCCCTATGTCTAAGTGCTATTGTATCTAGTTTCTTTGTAGTCACATGTTATATATGTAGGTGTTGAGTAGCTCTGAGGGTCTGTGTTTAAGTGGTACTGTGTGCCTGTGTGCTGAGGGGTTGTGATCAAATGCTAGTGCCTGCATATCAGGGTATCCACGTAATTCTGTTAAGATGCTAAATCTATGTGTTCCTAACATGTTACACCAATTCAGATATTCCTCTGGGATGTACTTAACAATCACCAATAGTGAATGAGAGTCTTCTTGTTCTCCCCTTTCCTTCATTTAACTCCTTGATCTCCATACCTAGGTATTGTTTCTCCTGCTCCAGCACCTCTCTAGCCCCCTCTTCCGTCATGGAGAGCACTTCAGCCAGGACTGGGATCTCCTAGAACCTACGCAGATCTAGGCTTGCCTTTCTCCTCCCCCTTCACTCTCTGAGTCAGTTCATCTCCTGTATGCCTTTCCCCTCCTCCTATCATCATCTCTGGCGTGTGGCCCTCTATTACCCTCCCCCTTTTCATTATAATCCACCTTTTTGTTATGCTCCTCTTCTCACCTTTCCCAGCTGAGGTTAGGTTTTTATGCTGTGCACTCCCTTCTCCCTTTATCATCTCCAGTCCAGTTTCTGTTTTGCCCTCCTCCCATCCCTTTCATCCCATTTTTTCCTACAGGGGGCTCATCCCATCATTGGCCCTCCCCAACACCCTTTCACTCTCAGTGACCCTCTCCCCACCTCTCCCTTTCTGCCATGGGCTTATGGCCCATGAGAATCGATGAGAAGGATACTGCTTTGACCCAGAAGCCTGGGATGTGCTGGATGATGAGGTCTCTGCGCTCCAGGAAAGGTCTTCGCATCTGGATGAACTTGCGTTTGAGACGAAGGAAGGCCTTGCCTGCCTTGATGTTCACGGCTTCCAGGTCCATTTGAATGCTCTCCAGTGCCTTCAAAATGCTTTCCATCCTCTCAGCATTCCTGTCTCTGCCTTCTTTCTTCACCTTCCTTTGCTTCCTCCTCCTCCTCCGCTTCCTCCTCACACTTTCCTTTTCATCCTCATCCTCATCTTCCACTATTATGACAGCCTCTTCATTCCTCTTTGGACCCACTAACGTCTGGGGCTCCCATACCCCTGAGCTACAGGTTTCTAGGGCCTTCTCTTCAGTAGGGTTGCTGGACTCTGCAATCTGAACATCAATTTCCAGACTTCCCCCAGAGGCCTCGGACAAGGGGAGTGTTTCCAGGATCCCTGTAGGAGGGGGCACCTCCCCGTACCCCGACTCGATCATAGGATCCCAGTCAGACCCCCCAGCACCCAGGGTGAAGTATGCGCGGATCCCTCCCTCCTCGAGAATGACATAGGGCGGCGGTGGGGGCAGCGCTGGGCCCAGCCCCACCCCCCTCATGTCAGCCAGCACCTGAGCCGCCTCGGTTTCCTCTCGGAGCCTCGGGCGCTGCTGGGGTGGAGGCAGGGGCAATCGCAGGAGCGGCGGTGGTGGCGGCGGCAGCGGCGGCGGTGGCTGGTAGCCTTGAAGAGGCTCTGCACTGCTCAGGCGGCAGGTCTTGGCCGGAGGACCCTCATCCGGGCGGTCCATGGTGACCGCGCTCACAAAACTCGGAGACTGCGCTCGCTCCTTCTCTTGCAGTCCAGCCGCCGCTACCAGGCACACCTGAAGCGCAGCAACCTAGCCGCGAAGCACTCGCTCTGATCACCGCCTCGCTCTGGCGTTCCCTCCCACAGCGCTTGCCCTACTCCCTCCGCGCCAATCGCCAAAGCCCCGCCCACTCCTAACGCAAGGGCCCTGCTCTGCTTCTCCATTGGCTGCCGGCCGCCGCTGCGGAGCTCGCGCTCCTCCGACTCCTTCCTGCTTCACGTAATCTGCTTGCCAACGCTACACGTCATCACTTTCCGATTGGCTTCCCTGGCATCCCCCAATCATGGAGTTGACCCCCCGCACCCCAGCGATGAGAGGAAAACTGCCAGACGATTGGCTGCTAGGGGTAGAAGCCCTAGCCCTCATTCTTGCGACGTTTTAGCCAATAGGAAAAGTACTAAACCGGGAAAGAAGATGAAAAACAAACGCAGGCACTGAGAAGGTTGTGCTCAAAATCGAAGAGCCTCGCTGTGGCCTCCAGTCCCCTCCCCCTAGCAACTACGCACTTATTAAATCTTCCCCTTCCCTCACCCCCTGCTTCTGCCCCTGGGATGAACTCTGCCATATCTTGTCAGAACCCAGGTTGACCTGGCGGGTGCCATTTAGGAACCCAGGGTCTTTGGTATTCAGGCCAGATTTTAAAGTGGTGTTTTCCATCTTTACAAAAATGGCTCTAGAAATAATCGCACACACAAAAAAAACTTCATGTGCGTCATAAAATGATTGACTCAGCTCACCTTCTAGCTTTTTCTAGGGCTATCTCTTCATCTACTGAACATTTTCCACTTATCTGCTTTGATTTGTCTCAATTTTTTATGACTAGAGCTGGATGGTCCTGGGTGAGGCACGATGGTGGGAGACTGGCTTTGGCTCGGGATTCATATCAATGGGTGTGCCAAATCACTGCTCTCTGAGCTTGTTTCCTTTCCTACATTAGGTGTCCCTAAAAAGAAGTGTAGTAATTGCTCTTGTAACCTTGTTGTGTGTGTATGGGGGGGACACCTAGGGATTCATCACCAGGTGAATGGAGAAAAATGTGACATGTTTTAAAATGAATCACTAGAATGAATTAGGTCTGTGTATGGCAACATGGCTGGATCTCTCAAAAACAATATTGAGTGAAAAAACAAACAGAACAAGATTTATAGTACAATACTGTCTCTATAAATTAAAATATACAATACCATATATTTTCGCAGATACACATATAAATGAACACATGAATGGTGAATTGGAAGGACATATGTTAAATACAAAGGAGTGGGTGCCTATGTGGAGTGTGGAGGATGGAATCAGGGATGGGTAATGAAGGGTACAAAAGGAAATAAAATAAAGAATTAAAGGACTTTACGTGAACCAATGATGATATAGTGTGCTAAGAACTGAGGAGTATGGTCAGCTCAATTCTGTGCACCCAAGACAATTAAGCAAACAGTAAATTGAGTGTCTAGGGAGTCAGACAACTGGGTAGGTTCCAGTCTTTTATTTTTTAACCATGATATCACTTTCTCTAATTTAGTCAAAGCTGTCCAAAATCCCACCTGTATACAGTGGACCCTAAGGAAAGGCTCCTGCACAGACTAAGCAGTTCCTCCAGAAACTATAACTTTGTGAGGGTATTTCCTATCCCAATCAGTTCTCACATTTGAATCTCAATTTATCAGTCCCCATTCTCTATGGTGGTCCAGTTTCATGAACACATTGTTTGAATTTTGGAGAGAGGACTGAGTGCTCAGGAAAGGGGGCCAGGAGATGAGGAAATCCATCCTCTTGCTACATACATGCATACATGCATGCATACCTTTCTATCTGCTGGATACCTTACTGCCTGTACCAGCATGTACTGTAGTCTGTCTCCTCTCAATCAGATGTGTGTGTGTCGGCATGCTGTATATCTCCACATACAGGCATTTGCTTGTATGTGTGCACCAGATAAATTTTCCTTAAGGATTCCTCACCACACAAAGTCACACAGACACATTATCTCATTCAATCATACTTTCCTACATAAGGTCACACAGACAGGACAGACAGACAAGCATGTGCGCGCGTGCGCGCGCACACACACACACACACACACACACGTGCAGGTAGAAAAACAAAACATCCAATATATCATTGCTCGTTTTAGTTTTTCCATTTACAAAATCCATTGATGATTCCAGGCAGTTAGAAAAAAGAAATGGAGGAAAACCCTCCTGAGTGTACCCTATTTACCCCCCACCCCTTGGTCTTCCCACCCCAACCCCTTGGAAAGGCACCCCCATCACCATCACTGAGAGAACAGGACCCCCACTTCAGCCTCTCAGCCACTCTGGTCTGCCTTTCCAGAGCCACTCCACAGCCAGGCTCCTGAATTCTCTCCTGCCTAGAGTGTCCTCCTCAATCCCTGTGGGTCAAGGCTTCCCCAGCTCAGGGGCTGTCTTGGGGTAGGGAAGGATCTTAAGACAAGGTCTTCAAAAGGAAGGGAACAAGGAGGTGCAGATAAATGCAGATAGGTCCCTGTCCCCAGGAGAAATAAGAAAGAGACAGAGAGCCTGGGCAAATCCAGGCAAAGCAGTGTCAGCTTGCCTCACCAATCCACAGAACAGGCCTTAAACTAAGGCCACAGTGGATGATGTCCCCTGGAAGGAGGCTTGAGACCTTTCACCTGGGGAATCTGGCTGCAATCTGTTCCACTTTGAGGGTAGGTAGGTTTGTAGGGAGGAAGGGTGTTTGGGACTGAGGACCCAAGAGCCCATAGACTACCAAGGAAGGGCTTAAGACCCCCAAGTTTTGAGGGAGACAGAAAGAGGTCAGATATGGAATGGATTCAAGTCCATAGTGCCCTGGAGTTTGTACCATGATCACTTATCAAGACCCTAAAAGAATTTTCATTTTCAGAAGATTAGTGTGAACCCAGGACAAAATTCTGGGTGAATTCAGCTCTGAAGCCAAGATCTGGGGTTCAGCTGCTCTGGAGAGTTCAGATTCTTCCTTATACTTCCTCTCAGGGTATCTCCTGCCTGCAGGACCCCACCCCCATCAGCCCTAGTAGGACAGGAATGGAGTTCCATTCTCAAGAAAGAGAGATAGAGGGTGGGGGTTAAAGAGGCAGTGTAAGAGAATGCAGCCAAGCTTGGTCTCTTTAGCTTAAGCAGTTCAACTCACATCCTACTCTTTACCTAGCCTGGACCCATACTGGGAGCCCTTCTCCCAACCCTCTGGGCTCCTCAAACAGATCCTCAAGAAATACTTGGAAGGTCTGGACACAGTGGGGAGGGAGAAACGTTTGGCCTTGAGATCAAGCTTAGCCCAAAATAACATTGCATACAACACAGCAATTAAACACCCTTGTTCCATGTGGACCCAGTCCCCTTTTGTCTCTGTTGTCAGTGGCCTTGAATCCGTTTATTCCTAAACATCTAGGCCTTGCTAAAGGACTTGGAAAGGTAAGGCCCTGGGAGCAGAAGGAGCAATAACAGCTCGTCAATCTATTTTATAGGACAAACTTTCCCCTTCTGGACAATCTGAGGAGAGATGCATCAAGCAAGGAAGCCTGTCTCCTCAGCTGTTAGTAGAAAACCCTGCATTTTATGTTTTGTTTTCTTTTTCTGAATTGTCATTTGAGAGAGGGGGAAGGAAGGGAGAAAGGGGGAAAGGAGTGAGTGAGAATATGTGAGTAGAGAAGTGGAGAAGGAGGCTGTGGAGATAGGCCCCACAAAACTAGAAATGCCTCTTTCCCAGTTTTCCATCCAGTCTCCCACCCTAGAGAGGTGTTGGTAAAGGTGCCTAGATTACAGTTGGTTGAAAGGCTGAGGCTGGAGCTCAGAGAAGAAGGCTCCTGTGTGGGGCCCCACCCTTCCCTTGCTGTTGGCCCCATTGTGGTGGTCATGAGCATTTCCCTGCACATCTGTCTCCCCGCCTGCTTCACATGACACAGTAGGGTTCTCTGGGAGCTGGGGCACCTCCTGGGCCCCAGCAGGGGGCATGAGTCCTCAGGCACTTCTTGAGGTCCTTGTTGATTAGGAAGCAGACGATTGGGTTAACAGCAGCCTGGGCGAAGCTCATCCAAACAGCAGTGGCCAGGTAGCGGTGGGGCACGGCACAGGCTTTCACAAACACTCGCCAGTAACAGGCCACAATGTAGGGTGACCAGAGGAGCAGAAAGAGCAGTGTGATTGCGTAGAACATGCGGCCCAGCTGTTTTTCACCTTTGACCTCGTCCATGCCCAGCAGCCTCCGGCTGGCCGTGTGCCCATTCTGCCGGATACCCAGCAGGGTTGGTGGCATGGGCCCGCGGCCAAAGCCAGCGATCCAGTTGGCAGCAGCCTGGCCAGTGGCCCCAGGACCATGGAACGTCCAGTTCTGGCTGATGGCTGGCACCATCTGCACTGGTTTCATCTTGCGGTGACGGTACTCAAAGAGGAGCAGCTTGCCATAGACAGCATGTGTGGCTGCCATGAGCACAGCCAACATAAGCATGAAGCCCAGAGTGTCATTGGCCTTGAAGTATCGATGCTCAAAGATGCACTGGTCCTCCTCTCGGATAAACTTGTAGGTGCCCACATCAAACACAGGTGGGAAGGCCATGGCCACAGACAGGGTCCAGGCCATGCAGATTACAGCTGCGCATGTCCAGAGTGTCATGCGCTTGGTGTAGAAGCGGTGGTGTGCGATGGCCATGTAGCGGGTGACACTGATGCAGAACAGCATGAAGGCTGCATGGAAGCAAAAGAGCACGGCCATAAAGGCCACAATCTTACAGCTGAGTGCACTGAATGTCCATGAGGAGCCGTGGTGCACAGAAGCCAGCACAAAGGGGAAGCAGACGGCAGAGCGTATGCCATCAGCTAGGCACAGGTCCAGCAAAAAGTAGTAAGGAGCTTTGTGCAGGGCACGCTCTTTGAGCACTAGCAGGGACAAGATGGCGTTGCCCCCCAGGCTCACGCACATGATCAGTCCCAGCAGCACCAGCTTCACATAAGCTGATGCTGACGGTGGGGACAATGCGCCGCTCACCTCCTCTGGCTCTCCGGTGGTGTTGGCCATACTGAGGGGCAAGGGCTACTCCCAACCCTACAGGGTGAGCCAGTCTGGTACTCGATGGGTCCTGAGGGACTCCATCACTTGTCCTCATGGGCTGTACCTGCAAGTGTGGACAAGGGGGAAAACACAGACACAGAGAGACAGAAAGATAAGGGCAGGAGAGAGAGACAAAGAGAGAAAAATAAACACAGACACGCATAGACAGAGTGGGAGAGAAAGACAGAAAAATAGCAATCAAGATGGAAATGGACAGAAAATGACACAAATGGACAGGATGAGAAAGAGCAATAAGAGAGTGATGAGAGAGAGCACGTGAGAGTGAAAGAGAGCCAGAGAGAATTGAGAGACAATGAGAAACAGATGTAAAGAAAGGTGAGGAAGAAATAGAAAGGGTAGGGTTAGCGTGTCTATGATCCCCGCCATGACTCCACAGCTGGGGTCAGGCCCTGAGCTTGGTCCACTGTTCATTCTACTCCCTCTTTGCTGAGTGGGGATGCTTCATCTCTCTGGATGTTTTTGCTTACCTATTTCCTCCACTGCTGAGCTATGTGGGGTAGGGATACTGGTGCAGCTCTTCTCCCCACTTTGCAAATCCCAAAGACATTTTACATCACAAGTCAGTATACATATGCATACAAACATCCACCTCAACCAAAAGGTTCACAAAACAGTACTGACCCTATATGTCATGCAACCAAATTCTGGCAGCCATCCTGTGAATGGATTTTTAAAAATCATGATTAGGAAGGTGCTTCCCATGTTTAAGGGACAGTAAGAAAACTAGTGTTACTGGAATAACATGAACAAAAGGGCTATGGTAGGTGAGGGCAGAGGTGTCCAGGGTCACATTATGTAGGGCTGTGGGCCATGATGAAAATGTTGGTTTTTAATCTGAGTGAGGTAGGGAGTATGTGTGAATATGGAAATGTGTGTACTTATATTGTTCACTGACTCACTAAACAAGATATTTATTGAGCATCCATTGTGTGTGAGGTATTGTTCTAGGCACCGAGAATCCAGCTGTGAGCCAGCTAGACAAAGATTCCTGCCTTTGTGAAGCTGACATTCTAGTCAATAAAAAGAGACATGGGTGAAGTTAGTATGTCAGATGGTGACAAGTTCTTAGAATAAATATAAAGAAGGGAAAGGGGATAAGAAGTGCAAGATGTGGGGAAGATGTTTCAGTTTTCACTGCAGTGGGCAGGAGAACTTCATGGAGTATTACTATCTGGCCAAAAATCTGAGGAGGTGAAGGAGTGAGTCATGTGGCTATTTGGGGGAAGAGAAGTCCAGGCAGCTGGAGCAAAAGCCCTTAGGGGGAACTATGCACCGCACATTGGGGAAGAGTAAGGAGGCCACAGGGGACAAACAGTGAGCAAGGGGCAAGGGCTTAGTGGAGACGCCAGCAAAACAGCAAGGACAGATCACAAAGGCCATGGCCAAGACCTTGCTTGGAGTGAGGTGGGAGTCTTGGGAGGGTTCTGAGCAGAGGGAAGGTATGACAGGATTTCAAGCTGAACAAGATCCCACTTGCTGCTGTGCAGACAGGTCTTATGGGGCAGAGGTAGAAGTGGAGGGACTAAGGGCAGATTCCTGCAATAGTCCAGGTGAGGAGTCACAGCACCTCCCCCATGTCCCTTTCCCTCATTTTTCTTCCTAGATCTTCTCTCTTTTAACACACTACATAGCTTACTTTAAACATTGGGATTCTTGCCTGCCTCGTATTATTAAAAAGAAAGCTCCATAAGGGCTGGGATTGTAGACTCACCCACTCACTTTCCTGTAAAAGAGCAAGGCAGAGTAGATAGCAGACTCTCAGTGCAAAGATCCCCAGTTAATTGATTGAAGGACTAAATGCACTAGTAGGTGACAAAAGCTCCCTGGAGACATGTAGGCAGACTATGTTGAAAAAGAGGCCCAGGGAGTGTGAGTGGAGTGCAGTGAGAGCAGCACGGTAGAGCTCGGGAAACAGAACAGAACACTCGGTGTAAGCGGGCAGGGAGTGTGGGGATGGATAAGGTGATAAGGCAGGGCCCAGAAGGAAGGGAGCCAGGCTACCCGGGTGGCAGCTGGAGACACTCAAGATTATTGTGGATGCTAGGGCTGGGCTGGGCATGTCTCCATGCTCTTTTTGTTCCAGTCAAAGGGATCCCTTCTGTACTGTTCCGCAGTCAAATCCAACCTGGCCTGCACAGCCACCTGGAGCTGATGAGACTGTGCAGTCCAACAGCTAGTAGCCTGTCCTTGAGAAGGTCCTAGGCAGGAGAGAAGTGGGCTGAGGGCCCCCTTTTCAGTGCCTCAAAGCATGGTGACATCTTCAGCTCTCAGTGGTATATGTATAAATGTGGACATACATATACACACATACACCCATAAACACATACTTTAGCTTCGAGTGGAGGCAAGGGGAAAGGGATGGAAACAGATGGAATGTAAGACAAAGTTAAAGACACACACAGTGACAGAAAGAAGTGCGCGTGTGTGTGTGTGTGTGTGAGAGAGAGAGAGAGAGAGAGAGAGAGAGAGAGAGGAAAAAGAGATATAAATAGGGACAAAATGGGAGAAAAAAGATGCACAAATAGAAACAGTACAACAGAGAAGGGAAAGAAAAAGATAGAAAAAGGATGGGAAATTCCATTTCCAGATAGTAAAGAGTGTTATAAATATATTTGAAAAGTACATTGGATTTGAGAAGGCTGAGAATTGTTCATCTATACAAACACATTCAGACTAGAAAGATCTAGAAGACTTGTGGGTTGACAGTAAAGATGGGGAGTGAGAGACAGAGGCAGAGATAGAAACAAAAATGGAGATAGAGAGGGAGACAGAGAGACATACTAAGATGGAGAAGGTGAATAATGTGTAGCCCAGAGTCTCAATCAAAACAAAAGCTCACAAAACCCACAAACAACAAAACAACCTCCCCCAAATGATAGCAGCAAATGAACAGAGCCATGGTGTTGCTGAGAATACTAGGGTGTCTGTGTTCCTAAGCACAGACTGGCAGCCACAGCCAGGGCTCCAGTCAGGCTAAGGGAGGGTTTACATGGACAGAACACATCTGATGGTGCCCCTTGTGCACAGACCTGCACACTCCCATGGATAGCCTACTGCTATGGAGACCAAGCACAAATTAGCTCACGCATAGGGGGCTTGTGCCCATTCTCTCTCTCTCTCTCTCTCTCTCTCTCTCTCTCTCTCTCTCTCTCTCTCTCTCACACACACACACACACACA